CGTATCAAACAAAATGTAAGAAGGAGAGGCTTTTCTTTACGAGATACCTAAGGGTGTCTTAGACTAATGGATTTGGATCCATGTTACATGGTCATGATTTTAGGTACTTACTCACCTGTCTTATATCGAAGGATTGGACTGCAACAGTAAGTTGTCGACTTATTCTAAATTAATAATCATTTGAAAATTATAAAAGAAGTATATTAAATATTTATAAATTGTAAGACTTGAACCTATTAAAAAAATACTTTTTAAAAAGGTCTTTATCATTAAGTTAAACCGTTAGGTACTTAAAACTTTTATATCCAATACAAATAATGAAGGAATAGATTAGAAAAAGCTACCAATAATCCTAAACAAAACGTTAAAATTTTAAAAGTAAATAAACTTAACAATATATGAATAAAAGAATTATAATGTGAGATGTATGAATTTTTTGCAATATTTATGAAATGATAATGAATTATTATTATTTTAAATAAATTATAAAATTTAATATCGATCTTCTAACACATCTCACTCTAAAAGTATAGATTGATTCTTGTTCCAAAATTTATAAGATTGACTTCAGATGACTTGACTGATATGTGATCTTGACTTGGAGATCACTTACCGGCACCATGTTTACCACTATAAATATCATTATCAAGTATATCTTTTTTTAGTTCCATTAATTAGGATAAAGGGAAAAAAATGGAAAATTAACCATTACAAAAAGAAAAAAAAAATTCTTCCATTGCATCCATCATTTTTGTTAGGGCAGGTCTTGCATCAACGTGGATGAAAGAAAAGCCATACATTTGAATCGGAGCAGAGAAAAAGGTCAGGAAGACAAATGAGGCAATTGAACTAAGTTGAGACAAAAAAAGGCAATTCGATAGCATTGCCCTTACCGCACGGCGAGTATCAACTACGCTCTTCGCAGTGGTCGGTGGCCCAACCTTTATCACCACAGGACGGAGTGCGAGGGTAGCGAATGGGAGGCTGATACACTTGAATACTCACGTACAAATTTCAAAAGGTAAAATGTTAAAAATGACATTTGAGTTTGTTTAAAAAATTATTATCTAGTAATTTAAATTTGATTTATTATGCTTTCTTATCATTAAAGCTTGAAGTTAGAATCGGGCACATATACTAGTGTATTCATATATTATAGTATTCAATTTAAGAACTCAATTGAAATTATGAACAGATTAAACCTAATAAAATCAATGAATGGTCAAACTCGATTTTTTTTTAAAAAAAAATCAGAATATCATATATTAACACAAAGTGAAATTACACAAATATCAAGTCAAGTCTATAGCTTTAATCTTGCAGACTTAATGGGGCATCATAAACCCTCACTCAAGTCAAACTCGATTTGCCTGATCAATCGAGTTCAGACTTATTGACCAACTAACAGCATTTTTGAATTCAAATTTGAAAATAATACAAAATTTATAAAATGTATAAAAATGAAAAAAAGAATGCTATAGTACTATAATTTTTTTTTTCAAATTTTGTGTAAAGAATTTTTTGGGTAGGATGGTGGGTAACTGTAGAGAATATTTTGTGTTAATTGTTGACAGGTAGATAGAAATCCTTGTGGAAGGTGTTAGCGGGTGAGCTGGATTGCTGATACAAGTCTTCTATCATTGAGAATAGACCAAATACTTGAACCAGCACGTCCTTGTACCCTTGTTCAAATGAATACAAATACTTTGCCATTCAGTAAAAGGAAAATCAAATGGTTCAAGTTAAAAAATAATGTTAATATTATATATATTACAATGATCAGCGATTAAGTAAAGAAGATCATGTTTTTCCATAGACGAAGCCCATTGATGTGACCTATTCGATGTCGTTTCCTCGGGATAGAGAGATATATCACAACGTTTGAAGGATACTTTATTTTTTAATCTTTCCAGACGGATTTTTTTTTGTTAAATTTTTATGTGGATTAAGGAGAAGGTGAGATGATATTTGATCCTAAATGGATCTTTCTAATTTGTCGTCGTTCACTAAGATGTTTAAAGGAAAATAACAAAAAGATCAACTCATAGTAATTGGACAATATAATAGTAATAAAAAGGAAGTATTGATGTTGATCTGATTACCACAACGACGTGATTTTTCACGTTTCAATTTCAGAAATAAATGGCAGAAGGTGATAGAGAGTGAGATTTTTAGGTGGAAAAAGTATCACTACCCTGACCGCCGTTAGTTACAAAGCATTAGCTCTTGGCGAGAGCAGGACGTTTGTCAACGTGTCACTCTACTTCATCACTTGCAAAAACCTCATCCATTCCACCATTCTTATTGGCTGTCATTAATTCATTAAGAATCGCGTACTTGTTGATTCTATTTGCTTGTTGGCAGCCCGCCCTGCATACTTAGAATGCTGTTGTCTTCCCAACGTTACATTTTAGTATCGCATGACAATTAAAACGAAAAGAAGTGAGCCCCTGGCGTATCATGCCGGATGGAATAAGATAAAAGGAATTATGTCCTAAGTGATGTTTCATGTTAATCAGGTGTTTTCTTTTCATTAGCAGCAGCAAGGTCTCTACGCATGCACTTTGCCACTGCTTGCTCTGTTTTCCTTAGTAGCTTTACTTTTTGTAAGAAGCGACCTCCACTATATTACAAATTGCGAATTGATGTTTCAACAAATACGAAACGATAAAAGCGGATCGAAATGATCAAAACGTGACATATATAATTTCTAATGACAAATTTTATTTTTAAATAAACAAAAAGGTATCACAGTATGTGAAGCTTGCACCCTTCGTAACATAGACTATAGCTAATATGTTCGCTCCATCAAAATGTGAAAGGGGAAAATATTCAATGAGTAAAAAAAATATTTACAGTTGATGCACCCACTAAGACTGTGTGAGGTCGGTTGAACTGTCCAACCGACGCAACCGTCAGTTGTTTCGATCAACCTTGTCAATCGATCTGTTCGATCGTTGGGAGGGACTTTTTTTCCCCTGAACCGACGAAAAATGATAAATTTTTTTTAAAGATAAAATTACCCATGGGCCATTTCTGCCTAATTCCCCCCACTCGTGACTACTAATTCCCCCCCTCCCCCTAGTCGACTATCCCCGTACCAAGTCGTCGAACCTAATTCCCCCTTCGCGAGTCGCGACCTAATTTCCCCCTCTTTCACCCCCCCCCCCTAATTTCTCCCCCTTCCTTTCCTGCTTTCTGCCTCTCACTGACTCCCTCCTCCCTCTAACCTGCCGAAGTAGCCATTGATCAATCACCCTTCACCCTTGCTTATAAGATTGTGTGGCGGTCGGTTGGGACCGACCGAACGACTGAAACCGGATTCTAAAAAATCGATCGAAATCGATATATATTATATACTATTCAATCGATTATATGTAAAAATTTTTTATCATTTTTGATAAAATAAATCGAAACCACTAAAATTGACGCCCGCACACCCTTAGCACCCACATCGGTTTAGACTCTATTTTGCGTCACATGTTGAAATTGTAGCTAGGCAACGATAGGAAGTAAAGAGAAATTGGCGACATTGACACCAATCATGGATCTCTATCATTTGCTTCATTCTTCTTAGCCTTGGCATCTTTTATTTTTCACATGCATAAACTTGTTAATACACCTTGTCTTTTACTATTCACATGTAATTCTCAATATCCTATGTAATATGATTATTAAGATCTATATAATAATATAAGTTTATCACTATAATAATTTGAATTTAAACTTTTGAAGGAAATGTGATTTAAGTTTAAAAAACTGTTGAACCAGTGATTAAACTTGAATCGTTATATCACATGCATCAAATATGCCTTATTTATGTCATGTCATATAATTTTTATAATTACTTTAACTAACGCACCTGCAAGAAGGGCCAAAACATAAGTCAACATCCTTCAATGAATTTCTTTTTCTTTCTAAACAGAGCATATAAAAATGAAGTAAACAAGCCACTTATTTGATTGAATCACTTACTAATTAGATCCCTGCTGTAAGGGCGCAATGAGAAAAAGTTCTGTTGGTGGGTCTGAGTAATCTGCAAGCCTTAGATTTTCTTTCCTCTGCACCACAGAAATGCATAGTGGCTATCTTCAGAGACCTCCCACCCCCGTTCCTCTAGAAAACAAAATGTTTGACTGCGTTTAATCAGTGTTCCAAATTCAAATTCTATCATGATTTTGTTCTCAACACTAATAGACACCCTACACAAAAGGGGAGAGACAGAGGTAGATCCATGTGTTGTGAATTCGCAATTTAATAAAATACCAAAGTTTTATTGAACTTGTCTCACTTTTTGTCTTTCTCTTTCCTTTTTTTAATTAAAGTTAATTACGTTTAGCAATGCGATAGTCATAATGCTGCTCGCACTCGCACTCGCACACACTGCATATACACGTCGGCTCTTGGCTTCTTATACCCCCACCACGAATTAAGCATCAAGAGCGTGCAAAACGCCTTCTCTTATTTGCGTACGCAAATGGAGAAATTTTATATAAAATACAAAGAAAAGATACAAAATCTTAAAACATTGTGGTATAATAATACTTTAGAGGGCCACTCAGACAATCAAAGGTTAAATTTTGGAGTAATTTATTTGAATATAATTAATTGCTTTGAGTTTTTGGTTCTCCTACCGTGTAGTTAGCACAGCAGCGTCAGAGCTGACAACCCGCTAACAATCATTTCAGACAAGTGTCCAGGAGGCATTGGACTGTAGACTTAAAAAAATACTCGTCAACGATACAAGTAGCCCCAACGCCTTAAATTTCGCTATAATATCTAACTATATCTTTATTATTAACGACAGATTAATTTAATGGATTATTTTGTTCATTTTAGTATGATCACTTTTCGTTGATGTTATTAAGAATATAAATTTTCGACAAAAACGGATAAAAAAATTACACATATGCATCCTAGATTTAAAATTAAACTAACGATTTACTTTCGGTTTTTTTAAAAATAATATATCTCTCTATTTGTAATATCTATAAATAAAAATCGAGTGTAAGTTTGAAACCAGGTATTCTTTTTCCTGCAAGCTAATGAATTTGGGCGAAAAAGCGGTCTTGCCCTTATTGCTGTCCATCTCAACACTCGCCCCCCTCTACCCCCAAGTACCGTCTCTCTTTCTTTTCTTGATTGTTGTCATATACTAATCGTTTGGCATGGAAACAAAGGTTCTTTCCACTGGAATTCCCTACACTAACTTGCCAGAAAGTTATGTGAGACCGGAATCTGAGCGTCCCCGCTTGTCTGAAGTCTCGGAATGCGAAAACGTCCCTGTCATCGACTTGGGGTGTGAGGACAGAAGCCATATTACACAACAAATTGCTCTGGCCTGCACGAACTATGGATTTTTTCAGGTAGTAGCTACTCCAATATTAACAAATTTGTTGCTGTTAGTGTATTTTTGAAAATTTCCTGACTTTTTTGATATATCGTCGCCCTCTGTTTTTTGCTTGATAGTGTTAGTTATAAAATATAAAGTGGGATTGATGATACCAGGTTATTAATCACGAAGTTTCCAAAGAAGCAACGGAAAGAATGTTCCAAGTGGCGCATGACTTCTTCGGGCTGCCGGTGGAGGAGAAACTGAAGCTCTACTCAGAAGACCCTTCCAAGACAATGAGACTTTCTACCAGTTTTAATGTGAACAAGGAGAAGGTTCACAACTGGAGAGATTATCTACGACTGCACTGCTATCCTCTCCACAAGTATGTTCCCGAGTGGCCCTCTAACCCTTCTTCCTTCAAGTAAGCCTTCTCTCTTCTTTTCCTCCTCATTTGCTACATATTGCATTTTTCTTTAATCTATTTGGGAAAATTAAAAGTAATGGCAGTAATTAGTTGAATGTTAATGCCCAAAAAAACCCTTCGTCAGAGCTACGTAATTTGCCAAACGTCATTCATTTTCATTGTATATGTCATGCATGTTCTAACGATGATTCAGCTCACAGTTGAATAAGATTAATTTAATACATTTATTTTGCAAAGAAAATAACCTGTTAGGTTTTTCTGACTATTTGAGTTTTTTTATTTCATATTCTGAAAACATCCTTAAAATAAATAAAACTCTTCAGATAGTCAGAATATTATGCATGAAATCAAAAGTAATAAACCAGTTAGTACATCGACATTACGATTTTCTCTCACTTTATTAGAGCACGTGATAAACAAATCTGATCTGATCTCATATTTATTTAAAAGATTTATCGAATGTTCTGTTCTTTTTGTATTATATTGACACATTATTAAATTTGATGAATTATAACTATCTGATTTTATTTTAATAGTATAAGATATAATAATATTTTTTAAAAATTACAAAGCTTATTCTCTTAATGTAATATATTTAGGGTGTCTTTAAAAATGGAATTTTAGTCTTTTTCTCTTCATGCAAAAATATCCAAATCTTTTAGGTTACCAAGACCTGGAGACAAGTCTCCTCTCGATTCTTTTTCTTCCATTGGTCCCCCTATTGTATGCTGTAGCTTGGTACCCTTTTCATAACTTGGCCACGTGCTCACGTGGTTTTCCTAGGAGTTCGTTGGTGATCTATAGACCACAACAACCCAACAATGTGATGAGCAGTAAGGGTTCTTTTAGATAAAGCCCCCCGTGGGCAAGTTTTGATGTTTTTTTTGCTTAAAATTGCATGCCTTTGCTTGCTATTTTTGTGATGAGCCATTCATTTTATTCATGCATATGCTTGCTTGTCCCTCATTCCCAACTCCCTAGCTAGTCCATAATGCAACACTCTAGACCAAGTCACGCATATTCATATATCGACAACAAGAAGCTCTGAAAAGTTTGTATTATCAAGTGTAGTATGATAGTTATAAGGGGTGGGATCTGTGTGTTTGGTGCTTAAGGTGACGACATGCATAAAGATTCAAATCTAACAACGCAAAATTATTAAGGCAATAAAGAATTGTCACTTTGCAAAAAATCGGCTGCAAGCGCGGAGGAATGGATTCTTTAGGTTTAGTAAATAGGGGAAAATTATAGACTTTTCCCGTCAGAAGAGGGATAAAACCTTACTGAAATGTTTTCCGGTCCAAACGGTTGAAGGAAAGGAAAGGCTAAAAGTTTAGGGTTAAGCACGTGCTTCATTACTTGGTTGTTCGCAAATTAAGGACAGACACAGACACAGATAGACAGACAGCCGTCAGGTTCAGATGTACGTACGTGCAGACGCAGGCCCTCTTCTTTCTTTTCTTTTTTTTTTTTTTT